CAATTGCCGACTGAAACGTTGATTTTTCAACGGACAGTAAGTCGGAAAGTTTCACTGATGGAGAAAGAGGAAAATAGGATTAAAATTTCAGAAAAATTGTTCCAGAAGAACTTTAATCCGAAGAAACATGAAAGAACAATAAGAAGTATTGTAGATACAGTCTATAGACGGCCAGGTGGCCGGAGGTACTAGTGAGAGTCTTTCGAGGAATGTCAGATAGAAATGTATCACTGTGGAATCGGCACCACGCGGTTGTCTAGAAATCAGTGCAATAAGTAAATATTTATTTATTTATTGCACTGATTTCTAGACAACCGCGATAAATAAGAAATGACAGTGTTTTATAGGTGCTGTATTTATTCATAAGAATCCAGTCACAAGATCTTTCCCTCCCATGTGGGGCAGAGGAACCTCACACACGGTATAGCTTCGGGATGAGTGAATTGGCGATTTCGATACGACCACACTCCTCTGAATTTCTTCCTCACGAACGATCCCCCTTCACCACATGCATTGAGAGAAAGCGGATGTGGCATGTCCCCTCGATATGCATTTACCAGAAACAGCAGTTTTGCCGCGCCCGCAACAGTAATATACAGGGGGGGGGGCAAAAAAGCCACTTCGGCCGAGTCACATATCAGCAAAGTTTTCGCAGCCCAGAAGACGTGGATACGAGTACCAGGGCAGAAGGTACCCAGATGTTTCTCGGTAAGCAAGAGCAGGCCCTCGTCCATGAACTTCATGTACACTGAAATTGTGAAGCCATCTACAGTCGCAGCCAAACTGAAGAAGGCCCATATAGTTCACGTCACCTCCATACGCGTGCGAAATTTCTTGTTACCCATGTGCAGCTACCTGGGGACCGGCACTGTTGATCTGGAAGACCTCCAAAATCGAGCAGCTCCGACAACGTCGCTACGGTCCAGGATATCATCTTCACCGCAGTCGCCAAGGCGCGGGTTGATGGTATGGACCGGAAGTTCCTGGAATGGAAGACCGATATTTTCTTCGTGGACCCCGGACTGAAAGTGAACGCTGACGGTTACATCGACCAACTCGAGGAGAATATCCTGCCTTCATGTCATCGCCTGTACCTTCTTGGAAACTTCGTACTGCTACAGGTACCTCCACACGGAATCGAAGGGCGTTGGAAAAACTCTCGCCTACTTGGAATGGCAAGGGCGTTGAGTACCTGAAGAAGAGGAAATATCTAAGTATGTCCAAACTCCCTCAATTATTCGGCTCGGCGCAGCTTAACAAGGTGGTCTACAGTGGCGGAGAAATCAACGATCTCGCTTAAAGGCAATTCCCGCGACCACACTTCATAGGTAATACAGTTCAAAAATAGAATTGCCCTGTGTTGTTGACTTATTGAAGAGAAGGAAGCACGAAAAAGCGCCCGGAATAAGACCCTCTTTATTGCAATTGATCATGATCACCGGACGAGCGTAAGGTGGTCAATTGTGAATTGCGAAAGGCGGCGATACACTGATAAGAGACGAGAGAGGCCAGAAAACGACGGGCGCAATGGCAGTCTCACAACGACACGGTCACTGGAGGCCGGCATGGGCCTATCGGGCGCAAATGGGCCTAAAACCTGAGCGCCCTGCGTTTTGCTTGCTGTTTTTCAACTTTTAAAAGCAGCATAGCCTCTGACGTTGCCTGCTTGACCATCGTGCACGGTTATGAGAACTAGCCTTAGTTTATCGCGGAACGTGCCTTTAAGCAGGTACCGAATCACGGTCGCATGGCAGAATCTCTCGATGACGCTCGTCCAGAGGGCTGTGGCGGGGCATAATGATAATATACAATATGCTCTTGAATACGGTAGTGGAAATGTCCCATCAGAAGTTTGATAAAGTGTAATTTATATCGCCTTCAAAGTCGAGGAAAGACAAGTGTCTTTTTTTACCCCCCCCCCCCCTCCACTGCATATCGCATAGGAAATGGGAAAAATCAACTGCTAAAAATGTTCTATCAAGGGAGGAACGACTTCCTAACGTCCTAACGACTAAACATGACATTGACAATACAATGGCCTATGTTGACCTCACACCTGCTAATGAATGCGAGTCCTCACCGCAACAAATATTCGCCCCAAATTTTCTGAGTCATACTTATGCGCGTGGCGAGTAAGATGTGGCGACGTTGTCTGTAGAGGTAGTATTCACGGTGATGGTTGGGAACGCGGTGACGGTAGACGATGAGAGAGAGCGGACAGCACGATAAAACACTCCATTCACCTTCTTTTGATGGAACCCCGCTTGCCTACCACTGACAACCGGGTTCTTGGACAATTGTCCTCCACGCCTGTCATGACTTTAAACAGTTTTCAATCATTGCAATTTTCAGCTGCGGAAATGGCTTGACAAATATGCATGTCCTTACGTTTTGTACCGGAATCCTACCAGCTGCGCTACCTAAACAGAGAATACAAAATCGGTGAGTCCAAAAATGTCTTCCGTAACCATTTACGGTTGGGTCCGAAGTTCGTGAGGGCAGGATTGGGTCTGTTCTAAATTGCAGGACTGTAAGAAAAGGGCGCCGCAGTAAGCAGTGTCAGCCGTTCAGCTGTGGTTTCAGCTGTGGATGAAAGCGTCTCAACGGCCGTCGTTTGATGCCTTGGGCAGAATTTTGCTGAACACGACCACGAAAACTTTCCCTCGGTACGCCTATCTTCCCTTCAACAGCCAACCAATCATCCTTTCGAACTTCCCTCAAGAATTTTCCTTTTCCAGGAAGCAACCATAGGGGAGAGGGATGCATCACAGATAGCAGTTCACGACGCCGCCTGATAGCAGTGAGGGTGGGAGCACATAGTGCAAGCAACACGTCAAAAATCGACAATTAACAGTTCAAGGCCAAACACGACCTTCCTCTCCTCCAGTGCTAGATCGAATATGCCCCCCCCCCTCCCCTCCACCGTCCATATACGAACCCCCTTTCAGGATGCTGCCATTCAACGTGCCGTGGTCACAAGCCAACGTCTGGTTCATGTTGCACAGTTGATATCGTCTCAATCAGTCGGGCCCTTCCCGAGGATAGGATGATGTCACCCGCAGCGTTTCCACCACTCTGGTATATCTTTTTACTAACCGACCAGTACTGGTAAAGCAAGAAAGCTGGAGGCTCGTCCCTGTCCTGACACGGCCCCTACTGACTGGGACATTATCAACTATGTATACGCATTTCGACATAGGTGGAGAAGTTTGTTTCATCTACAGAACTCAGCAAAAGTACCGGAATCAGCTCTCTTGTGTATTATATACTTTTACAGGTGTTTATATCATAATAAATCTAAGCATCATGGTAGCAGCGTTGATGGTCGTTCTTGCTCTACCATACATTAGTCGCACGATAGTCACACGCTTGGGAGTGGGTGACGACTGTAAAGGAGAAACGAAGTGAGTCCAAAAAAGGCTTTACCTCATGATTTCAAAAAATTTGCGAGGTCTTACATAGTCATAAACAACGCTGGATCAATTTTGATCAGGCCTTTTTTCCAGGAAAAGGAAGGAGGAGAAGGCGTTCCTGATAGTAAACTTGGTCTTTTTCGCACTATTGGAACTTGCGAACCTCATCAATTTCCTTGCACTCATCGTTTAATAAAGATCACATGTTCTGCAGCTACTGTCTTGTTGTAACGTCAGTAATTTCATTTACTTTGTTAGAGTTGTAGAAGATGTTTTGCCATTTGAGGTTTCCACGTGGAATAGCCTATTTAATAACTTTGGCTTATCATTTGGACCTGATCATCTTCTCATAGGCCTTGATCATCTTCTTCAGAAGCCGTTTCAACTTTGGGAAATGGACACCCCGTCAAGTCCAATCTACTCTAGCAGTTTCGACGACCTTTGCTACTTAGCAAAAACTCGAACGCTCAAATGTGATAGCGGGTTTTCGACCACGGAACGCCCATGAATTTAAATTTTGTGCTCTATACGGTTTCCGATTGAGTTTCGGAAAGGTCTTCGGTGCCGCTAAAGTTCATTGGAGAAGGGGTGTTTACTTTTAGAACTCGAAACAGTCAGTCATCTGAGGAGGACGATCACCCGGAAAATTTGGGCTGAAAATGCTTGATAAACTGATCCACCTGAGACCCCGAACGGCATCACATCTTTTACAATTCAAATGAGGAAAAGATTGCATAAACTAGTTAGGTATGTCTCATGAAAAAGTCTGCGCTATAAAAAAACATGTTATATCCGGCTGTACATCGCAAACTCATTCATGGATTCTTACTGGAAAAACTTAATCACCACAGTTATCCTGTTGGAAGGCTAGAGAGTAGGGGTTTTCGCTCACAATTAATATCATCGCAGTCTGGTGGAGCGGTATGGAAGGACGTAGACTGAGTCATTCCGGGGTATTTTCTATTTTCTTTTTTGCCTGTTTCTTTTTTTTCTTGTCTGTTTTATTTTTGTAGAGCCACGCAGTCGCGTGTGGGGTAGAAATAGCTCGATTTGACACAATATGTCTCTGTCAAACGGAGACCTTGATGGCAGTTGTTTCAAGCAGAAGTTCCTATCCCGCAAGTAACCTACTCTACGCCGTTCAAATGCCACACCTACTCCGAGGACCGACCCCTGTAGGGAACATGGTTCCGAATGGTTTTCCCCAAGTTCCCGTCCACTTTATTCTCATTTACTTATTTCGTCAACTATACCGCGCCGAGGAGTCCCGATTGACGAAACAGAGGTTTGAGTGAGACAGAGATGTTGTGAACAATAAAAGCTATGGAGCAGTTTTTGCAACGCATTTCTCCCCTGTTCACTAACTGGTTGATGCTGGCAAACCCACATAAGTTTGACAAAAAAGCCACTGTCTCAGTTCTGTCTCCGCTCTATTGTCGCTTCGACTAAGTTCTACAATTCGAACTTTAGACAGTAAAGTACCGATTCTAACTTGGAAAATTCGCTCACTCAAGAATTCTTTATCCATTTGATGATTCTCTCGTGAATGCCCACTTGCACAAGTTTTTGGAGCAAAATAGGATGGATAACTTTGTCGAAAGCTTTTTGAAAATCAAAATAGATGACATCAAGGTTATTTCTAACGTCAAGCACAGCTGTCCAGTCATTTAGTGCTTCTAACTTAAACCCATGCTGATGTCTGGATAGAATTTGTTTCGTCTCTAAGTGATGGACAATGACCCCCTTTGAGAATTTTTTCGAACTGCAACATATCGAGGTGATACTAACAGATCGGTAATTATTCGGATCACAAAACGGGGCTTCCTTCCTGAAAGACTACATAGGCGTGACGCCAGCATCGAGGAACCACTGCATGAAAAAACATCAAGTTATACAGAAATTCCAGTGGAGTTGATAAACTAGCAGCAGTTTTTTTGATGAAGACAAAAGGGATTCCATCGGGGGTATATGAGGAGCCACTAGACCACTTGCTGATTTGCTCCAGAATTGTATAGCGAGTAAACGAAACGGAATCATCCATAGGTGTAATGCTATCGTGAAGCGACGTAAAAGATTCTGGAGCACAACGCTTGACATAGACTTTTTCAAACTCTGCTGCCAATATTTCACCTTTGCTGGAATCCGAGAGCAACTGTGCCATCTACAGCCTTCAAAGCACTAACTCCCTCTTTACGGTTGATACGAAAATTCAGAAATTTATAGAAAGCCTCCTTGTTTTTGTTTCCATGACTTTTTTCTCAACTGAAAACTGAACTGTAAGTATGAATTTTTTCGTTGAACATGGAAGCAAGATAGGCAGGTAAGTGCGGAAATAAGCAAAACTTCCTATAATGGAACAAACAGAGCCACCGAGTGCTTTAAGATGAACAGAAATGTATCGTACATTTCTTCCACATTTCCACAACTTTGAAAGGATCCTAACCAGCACTGGAACTAAGGTGCTCATTGATGAGCTCATAATTAGCTTTCGCATGGATAGCTTATATTCCAATGTGAACTGTTCGTGCGTCCAAAAGTAACTGAGGAGACTATGAGAACTAGCATGGTCGCTGGACCCCCCACCGGAGCTGTAGCATGGAGACTGGCTTATTATATCGGGATTGTTGCAGAATAAGAGATCAAGGGTGTGATCCCTCTGGTTTTGAAGTTATCTAACTGAGAAAATCTGTGATTATTAATCATATCCACGAAAGAGTTAGAACATGACACCGCCTGAGAACAGTTGCCTCTCCAGTCAACGTCTGGGTAATTGAAGTCAGCCCATTAGAAGACAAATGCAGTCGCTAGAAGCGAGATCGCTTATACACCTACTCAACTGATCACTATGCTCCGATTTGCAGCTCGGCGTTCTGTACACGAGAATAAGTTCTAATAGTTTCATCACTCGAATTCAGATCACAAGCGAGGATCTCATAGGCCTTACAAAATTCTACCATTGAAAGCAGCAGATGTATAGGACTTTGGCAGTGCCACGAACTGGTCTGGTGGGAGGAGGTCGTAGCTGGGAAATCCACAGCAAGGGATCCTCCCGCCGCTAGGGTCGATGCAACTTGTGACGTGCCCTGGAAGTGAGCCAGTTCAAAAATCTTCGACTTAAAGAATAATTATCATTCTGGCAATTTTGATAATGCATTCATTGCTACAGAGTGTTACTCGTGACGGTTCTGTGAATGGCTTCATTATTTGTGGAGGCGCTTGCTCCTCCTCCTTGAGCCCAGGCTAGAATCGTCTTTCTTCTCACCTTCCAGCACAACATTTTAACCATCACATGATGTGCGAATTTTTGACCCTGTTTCAGCTTAGCGTCAGCCATCTGTTTATCCCAAAAACAAGTATCTCGGTCGACTGAATCTTGCAACGTGTCAACCACAGTTCCTCATCCGAAAAAAGATCACGGTCAATGTGGAAGAGAGCTGGAGAGTACAGAGAACAAGAACAGAGATGAAATTTGCTCTCTCATCATATAAAAATGATTAGATGACCCACATTCGCCTGTCATCATCACTGAGCTGCTATCGTAAAGCTGCCGAGGTTCAAAAAAGCAAGGAGACAGAGGCCTTTATGAAGGTCTTATAAGGGTCGTTTTAGTAGCAATACTTACAAAGCAATTTTTGTCGCATTACTTGAAGTGTTTGCTTTACTGATCAAACAAGAATTGATTACCCATTTTGCAAACA